TCTGGCGTTGTCCTGGTGGAACACTACACCCTTCCTGTTGGCCAATTCTGGACGCTTCTGGTCGATCGCCTGCTTCAAGCGGTCCAGTTGTTCGCAGTAGATGGTAGAATTAAGCGTCTGGCCATATGGGAGCAGCTCATAGTGAATGATTCCCTTCCAATCCCACCAAACACACAGCAAAACCTTCCTGGCCGTCAATCCCGGCTTGGCCACTGTTTGGGACGATTCACCGGCCTTCGACCACGACCGTTTTGGCTTGATATTGTCGTATGTGATCCATTTTTCGTCGCCAGTCACCATCCGCTTCAAGAATGGGACGAGTTCGTTCCGTTTCAGCAGCATATCGCAGGCGTTGAAGATATATTCCATGATTTGATCGGTATTTGTCTTCACAGGTCTTCCGCCGGCTGGCTTATCCATGGTGTCGTTTTCACCGGCTCTGAATCGTCGAAACCATTCCTCCGCGGTTCGAAGTGATAGAGTACCATCCCCCAAAACACCATTAATCTCACGGAACGTTTCTCTAGCGGATTTGCCTTTAACGAAGGAAAACTTTAAAATAGCGCGAATTTCGGCGTTAGTGAACTCCATGTTTACACGTCTATAACTGTTGAACGCAATATCCAAACTAATCATGCATAGCGTTGTTTTGTAGGTTATGTCAAGACCTTTCAAATTATGTATAGTGTTGCCAGATACGAGCTCTGTAGCGCTTTGTACATAGCCGCGAAATTCAAAAGACATAGAAGATATTTGACAACCTTATATGTGCATACCCTTCGAAGTTGCATTTCTTATAGCAGCTATATCTATAACTATACCTGGAAACCAAACCGGTCAATGCTAGTTTGCTAGTTCTTTCTAGCCATGAAATTTCAAATAAACAACCTTCAAAATATCCTTTATGACGGGCTTGATTTTGGTGGGTCAGCAGTAATGAGCAGCTTCTTGAGTCGAAAAGAACGTGTGCAAATTTTCAGATCGATATCTCAAAACCTGAGGTACTCGCGGATATACCGACCGATGCACATGACTAAATCGACTCATTCCGTTATTAATTAACATATATACTTAAATATGCTTTATAGGGAATGTTTCGTGGCAAACGAGGGTATATCCCTGTTCAGGGTATAAAAATATTTTTTTGTTACTCACCACAATCTTTCAAAAGCCATTAAAATTTTTTAACTTTCTTCTTTTTTATTATTGGTGTAAAAAACATATATACAAGACAGAATAAAAGCTCTGCGAGTAGCCTCAAATTTGGTACAGCCTTCACAAATGTTATACAAAATGACATTTTTTTATGAACTACTTATTTAAGCTAAAGATGCCGGCAACAGAGTCATGTAAATTCCAATAAAAAATCTACCAGTTAAACGATATTATAGCTTATATGTTTTCTTCCCTAACCACACCATTACCACAAGTATACTGGCCACAGTGGCGGATACACACAGGATTTTCAGGTTTGAACCTCTTCTTAGTGGTCGGGAAAGCAAAATGTCTTGTATTTTAAAAGAATATATTCGAGCTTTATTGGAGTGTGCGTAATACTGTCGGAGCGTAATACTGTCGGTTTATTAAACTTTCAATACTTTTTAAATTATCAAGGCTTTTTAAAACACATTTAAAGAAGTTCATCTACAGGTAAATTTTATTTACATTTTAAAATGTTTTTTCTCTTTAATTGTTGCTAAAAATTATCCTCACGTATAAATATTTTGATTGAAAGTAACTTACCGATAAAGCATCAAGTGCATTACGGATATTGCGCTCATAGATTAGTTTTCTCCACATTCTGACTGACAGTTGAAATTGTTTTCTTAAAATTTGGTATATTAAGTTTGCAACGATGTTTGTAACCCTGAAGGAAACGTTGGTGATCCTATTAAATATATATATAAATGATCAGAATGATGAGCTGAGTCGATTTACTCATGTCTGTCTGTAATATACGATCTAGTCCCTCAATTTTAGAGAAATAGATCTTAAATTTAGCACCATGTCTCTAGACTGGAATACCCCCTAATATCATATAGGAAACTGAACAATCGCAATCAAGTTCTCGTATAGAAAACTTTTTCATTTGACGATCATTACCTAAGGCAATAATAAAATCTCCGAAGAAATTGTTCAGATCAGATCACTATAGCACATAACTGCCATACAAACTGATCGATCCGAATCAAGTGCTTGCAAGGAGAGATTTTTCATTTGACGAGATATCTTCACGAAATTTGCAACGGATCATTACCTAAGGCAATAATAGAATCTACGAAGAAATTGTTCAGATCAAATCACAGTAGTAAGTAGCTCATACAAGCTGAACAATCGGAATCAAGTTCTTCTAAGGAACCTTTTGTATTTGTGAAGGGTATTATAGCTTCGGTGCAGCCGTAGTTAACGTTTTTTCTTGTTTTTTAAAACATTATTTATGTAACGGTAAATTTGGTTAAAAACGGAGTACTTTCAGTAATCACTCAGCCGTGAATTTTCTGACGTATTTGATTATTTTTGACGTAATTTGGTTCAAAAAGGTGTTTTTGCTTTAAATGCATTTTATCCAGAAATATGTTATTTACGTAAAATCTGAATTCGACTGAGCTTACTTGTACTCGTATATAGTATTGTTTACGCGAGTAAACATATGTATATTCCGTTTACCTTGCATTGCATTTTACCTTATTGCAATCTTAATTCAATTCTAATTAGATTTCCTTCGAGCACGATTGCATTGCTTATTTACTTCGTGTTGTTGCGCAAGCACATGTGATTTGCCGCATACATACATACATATGGTATGTACGTAAGTACAACCTCTTTTTTAAGTGAGTTGGTATTCTTTAATTACCACAATGGCTACACCCTGTTTGCGCGCTAAAAATTAACCAGCCAAGCAACAAGCGACGTCAGCAAGCAACAAAATAACACGGCAGCAAATCAGGCAGCCCATAAATTATGCTAAACGCTAATAACGGCACAACTATATACTCGCACATATGAAGTGTTAAGAAGCAATTTAGCCGCCAACTAAGTGGCCAAGCAACTGATGCAACGAAGCCTACATGGGTTAACCTACCGGCAAACTAATAAAACAACAGCACAACTTGCCGTGCAGCTTGAGGGTCAGCGCTGTTACCACATTTCTGCAATTGTTGTTATGGTTCTGGTTGGAATTTTGTTTTTCGGCAACTTTTGCTGCAGCCTAAAGTAGCATGTAATTAGCAATTACTAAAAGTAGATTCTTCAAAAATCACTAACATCAAGTATATAGCAAGCAGTAGCGCGTGAATACAAAAGCGAGTACCCTCGCTCAATTGGCAATAGGTAACTGTAAGTATTAAAATATGACTTACGGTTCTCGTATGCATGGATATATGTATTTGTATGTGAATATGAATGAAGAAGATGGCCCTCAAAATATTTAAAGCAGGCTTGGTTATTCTTAAAGGTCGACACGTACTAACTGACATACATACATTCATACATATATATCTACATGTATGGATGTGTGTACCCACAAACAACAAAACATAAGTGTCAACCAAATGTTGTTTAATAAAAATTAGCCGCGCAAACACCGAAAAATAATAACACTAAAAGCAATTATAATTAACTCAGCAAAAACTCTTAACCCTTTGAGGGCACACCCAGTATCAAATTAAAAAACAAAAACCGATTTTTTTCATATTTCGAATAGGTTAAACCATTAAAAAAAATCTTATAGTGTATTCTTAAAATATGTGTAAATATATATACCCTTAGGATCATAAGCCAATTGATACAGTAGTTTTTTTAATTTAAAAAAAAAATCGGCTTTTATGGGCTGTCACAATAGATGTGAATCTTAAGAATAGATTAGTCAGTAGGTTTATTGCAATCAAGCAATCATCAGGGTTTTCTAAGTAATTCGTTGCAATACAAGAGAGCATGTAGATATATTTCTAAAGATACCTCCAAGGTCTACAAATTGATACATCAAACCACCCTGAACTTGACTCGTGGACTCGATCAGTGTTGATTCTGTGTTCTTTTCGTGAAAGTGAGCATTTTTAAACCATATGGCAATACTAAACTTAACTGAAAACTCAAATTGTTACATCGGTCACACTTATAGATGAAATTTACGTGTCATAAATTCATGTGTAATATCCAAACAGATAATTGAACTAGAATAATAGGAAATGTTAGTCTGTATGTCAAAAGAGTAGAGAAGTTCTGCTTTAGCAAAATCAAAATCGGTTTTTTATTGAGATTTGGAACTGCGCCAATGCCAGCTAGACAAAATATTAATTTTTTGTATTTTGTATTGGTGAGCTAATCTCGTCGAATAAAAGGTAGAGTAGCAAAGAGTTCTTTGTTAGTTTTACTGATGTCGGGATGCTCGCCTAGATGGCTGAAAGTGTGAGATCGAAGATGTTGCAGCCTTGATGTCGTAAATGCAGAAAAATCAAGAATGTGGCGTTGGGATGATTTTAAGAGGCGGTTGATCGGAACAAATTTGTTTTCTCGATAAAAAATTGTTGATTTATTTTTATATATTTTATTTAAAATTGTCAATTATATCGTACGAAAAAAAACGAACAAAATTTCTGGAGGTTGAACGCAATATCAGTTAGTTTAACTTTTCGCCTTTGAACATTTCTGTTAATAATAAAGGACTTAAAGAAATTATCTTATACATTTGGCATCTTACTCAAACGTCTGGTATAATTTTTCGAAACAGAATTTCGAATAATCTACTAGAAGGTTTATTAAAAGCTAAAGCTTTGTAACGAATAACAAGATTTTTCAGATAGATTCAGAATAGATTTAAAGATCTATTATTACATTAAATTACATTTCAAAAATTTTACATTAAAAGCACGCCTTAAGTATATTTAACATTTGATATCTTTTAAACAAAAACATTAACATATATTAATAAACTTCGAAAATGAATATTATGATATTTGATCAATAAAGGGTTAACTCCAACCGTCACACATATTTATCGAAACAATATGGCAGTAATTGAATTACAGTTATTGGTGTATCATACGCTTTTTAATTTCAAAAAAAAAAAACGCAAACAAATTTTTGTGAAAATAGTTACGTAAAGATAAGAATTAGTTGGGTTTTTTAATTACCATTTAGCTTACGTGACGCAAAAAACGCTGATCAGCACATAAAAGCCGACACATTACAACAGGAGACGAAACGCGACGCAACGGTGCTGAGCAGCGCGCATATTTGAAATTCCAACGCAGTTCAATGCGAGCGCAAGCAACACGAAAAGTCAACCGATCGACGATTTTCAAGTCAAGTTCGAGTTCAACACACAGCGCGCTTTCTTGTATGTGGGTTTTCTCTAGCGAAATAAATTCAAATTTGTAGTGACTATTCTTAATACAATTTTGTGACTTTTCTTATTGTTGCTTATCTCAACTAGTTGTTGCTTTTTACTAACAACAATTATATTGCTCCTGTGCGTGTGTGTGTGTGTGTGTGTGCTAAATGCCGTCTTAATGGCCAAGTTGGGTGTCTGGCTGTGCACTTTTCTACTAGCTGCGCATGCGTACTCGATTGAACCTGTTTGCTGCAATGAACGAGCCTATAAATAGATATGTATGCAAAAACTTGCGAATTTTCACTTCATCAGCGGTGCATATGTGTTGATTACTTTGCTGTTATTGCACTTTCCTCACATTCGTTGCACTTTCATTAAACATTTAACACTTTTCGTTTTACTTCCGTTTCACTTGTCACCAGTTAGCACTTTTCGGAGGCTAATTTCAACTAAACTTATTTGGAATACTTAAAGTTTTGAAATTACTTAAATCATTATTTCTCCACTTAATAATTTACTAATGTGCACTTGTATAATTTTTCGAAGAATTATTTTTTATAACGCACTGAACTATTTATAAAATTCTATTTATATATCCACAGGCGGCAATAGTCAAGTGAAAACGTTTAAGCGCGACTTATACGTTGCGCGACTGCGAGAAAACTGAAAAATTCCAAACAGTTAAGCTGTCAAGCCAATCAGCAAAGCGGCCAACGCAAACAAAATGCGACAGAGTCAAGAGCATCTGAGCACTGTACTAATGAATATTGAGGACGTAACATACTCGTATAAAAAACATTTAGCATCGACGACGTGACTCCGGCATAGCCACCACACGCCAAAAGAGCCAAGTGAGCGCGAAGGAGAGTGCGCAACTCTCGAAGGCACACTCGAAGTCTGTGCGTGCTGGGCAGACGTGTTATCGACAGGCGGAGAACAGACAAGCGCGACCACAACGAGCAAACAATCAGAGTCGGTGCCAGCCAGCCGCTGAGATAGCGTAGAGAGACAGTGAAGAAGATTGGAGTCAGCGTGAGCGCAAATGCTAGCTTTGTTGAATAAGTAGTGAAACGGTAGCGCGGTGACGGAAGATGCACCAAGAACACGTACCAAAAACACTTCTGCATGCTCCCAAAAGTTATGTGTATGTATGTGTATAGAGAAAAACATTCCATACCAACGCTGGTTGCAGGAACAAAAATACTTTACAATGGTTTGATTGGCAAAGCGCGGCTGCAACTGCACCGATCTCTACCAGACACTTGAAGATGCACATAACTCAGCTTAGTAAGTCCGGCGCAGTGAACTCGAAAGCAAATAATGCATGCTGCAGACATCGGCAACTCAATCGCGAAAAGCGGCTGGGTGCATTCAGCAACTCTAGTTTAGTAAGTATGCTCTGTAGTGGCAACTAATTTGTGTACCGCTTGGCACCCACTGCAACACAAAGCTAGCCAAGTGTGTGAGTATGTGCCGCTTTGGAGGCTTATAGGTTGTTGCTGTTCTATTTGTTTTGCGTGCGTATCGACAATAATGTGATTCTGCCTCAATTCTGTTGGTGTGCTGTATTGTGCTGAAACGTCACCCAGTAAACCGTTAATTTTCTTTATGTTTCAACAAAATAGCGCAGCTAGTTTCACTTTGAAAAACTTAAATTCAGAACGATTAAATGAAATCTCATGAAACTTTGACTATTCAGTATAAGGTTAGTACTCTAAGGCACAGATAAATATTTTTAGTTTGTGACGATCTCTCTGTCAAGAAAATTTTCATTTCATGTAGTATATGTGGACGATCAATAAATGAATATTAGAGAGGATGAACTCAACTACCGTTTCTAATAAGATTGAAAAGTGGATGAATCATTCATTTAATACAACAATTTGGTACCAAAAACCAACCAAAGTTTTAAGAAATAATTTTTTTGCTGAACATAAAAGCTACGAGATCTAAGTGATTTAGGTTATTCACACAAAACATGTCTTAGATTATAGTATAGGACATAGTCCCGCTTTCCCTCAGCCGCACCTTACCTATTAACCTAAGATCCAGGTTTGTTTTTAGAGAAATCTACTCGTAAGTTGTGTTTAGTGGGTACATACATACTTTTATAGCTTATGCGTACATACTTTATGCTGTCATGTAAGCACACTTGCGAGCGATCAACTTCAGTTGACGGCATATCTCGATTGCAGTCATAATAATCATTGAGATGTTTTTGCTTCTGCTACCACTGACAGATTGCGGCGGTCCGGGTATATAGTGCGCTGATGACCTGAAAAGAGATAGCTACGCATTGTTTTCATATACCAATGTACATGTACATATATGTATATATTTTTTTTTTCATGGGCGACTGTTTGAAGGAATAAAATCGGTATATAGACACCACAGCTTTAAAATTTAGCTGAGTATGAAGTCTGACAAGATGTCGTCTATCGGGTATCTGCTAAGTGAAGTAGGAAAAAGTGTGCTCCATAACCTAGCTGAAGAGAAAATTGACTTCCCTCGATGTTGCAATTTTCGTTAGCTGGGACCAGGAAGCATACAGCGTTCACTGGTGTACTCAGCAAAAATAGAAAAAACTCAAAATGAATTAGACAGGATATGACGATATATAAAAAAAATAATAATGAATTTGAAATATCAAGAATTTGACACTTTAGTTTTGCTTTTAGTACCGCCGCTATTTCGTTATCCCTATTTACATGTTAAACATTTATTTTCACACAAGAATATATTGTCCAATATATTCACATTATAATTGTACTTTAAGAATAATTTATTAATTCTTCACGATTTTTCGGCGATTTTTAACAGCTTTCGTAAGACAAAATTCCAATAGAATTGGGAAAACTTCATTACCTTCATTATACTTTGACGATAGAATACAGATTTCTATATCTCTAAATGCTAAATTTTTTTGTTCAAACTATTTTATGTTGAAAAATGTGATTTTATTAGTATTATATATTTCTGCTCTAATCAGGTCTTAAATCCTTAATATATTTCGCATTTGGCATGAAAGAAAAATGTATCTTTCATTTCTCATCGAAGTAAATCGACTGTTGGTTAGGTTAAGTTAAATGGTCGGAATTTCACTTGGACAGCTTATAATGCCTGAACCTAGAACTTCTATAAAAATGTATCATAAACACCCTCATAAATCGATGAAGCGCTTTGAGCCGATCACAAGTTTGTTGAGGCAGCCAATGTCAGTTACAGTTATGTCTCCTGGTTTGTCGAAGGTACGACTGCTGAGATGTTTCGGTCTGAGTCTGTTCAGTTTTTTCTACGAGTAGAACCGGATGGTAAGAGATTCAAAGTTATGTCTTCTTCGTTTTGGGAGAAGAATTAAATAATTGCATTGTTTATTTTGAAATTGAAAACATTTTCAATAGTGACTAATCGGCGAGATTGAAACCAGTTTGAAGTTAAAGACCAACCGAAGCCCAAAATTGAGTGAATAGCTTCAGTCGGCGTATCGCTTTCGATGGCAACTATATTAAATATTTATATGCGTATAAGCAAATTTTGCCAAAATTAACTTTTCTGTAGTTTCTTCAAAACGATACGAAGTTTTCATCCCGCCTATTAATATATGTACATACCTACATTTACAAAATAATATCAATACTTAACTGATTAAGCGATATATTAAATAATAGCGTAATGTGATGTGTACATACAAAAATACATACAAACATGTTTATAATTACTAAATTATTTTATTTGTTTTCCGCAATTACACACACTTTAATTAGGGTGATACTCCACTTATTTATAAAACTTGTTGTTTGTATCAGGAAGGCTATATACTCGTATACGTAGCGTATCGTACGTGTGCGGTAACTGCAGAATGCATTAATGATAAATTCCACATTGTAAATCCACTCTTTGGTGCAATCACTTGCTCAGCGCCAATGTTCTTCCCGATAATTTTCTTATTTTGCTTCTTCAACTTTAGCGTTGACTTCATTTCGTTGAACTTCTTTATTTAAGTGTGACTGTTTGCAGTTGCAGTCGGCAACAGATGTAGACTGCGTAATTCTTTTCTTATTGATTTCATGGAAGTTAAAGTGGATGGAAATGTTGCCGTGCTGCGTGATATTTATCATAAGGCACCACAGTGAGAATTATGTTGATAGGAGTCTATATATAATACTATATCTACAGTATGTTAGTATGTAGTATGTTTAAGAACACTAATTCCGCATTTGCATACTCGCATATAGCATTTATCGCGTAAATACACAGTGGTGGCGTGAGAATTAGCATGTCCCGTCCCACTAGTCAAAGACTAATATTTAGCTGCCGAATTTTATCAAGGTGGTAGACAAAATGTAATGATTATTAAAAAATGTTTCCTTTACAAGTCATGATGCAATTTCAAGCATGCAAGCAATACTTCACTTATTCTGAGCTGGTTTAGAAACACAACTAATGTAAATCTTAAAAAAAACTACTTTTTTTATATTTCGATAGATTATACTTTTACAAATAACATACTAAATTTGTAAATCCATATCTCAAATAGTTTTTGAGTTGCCGACTTCTAAAGTGTAGCCAGTTCAATCAGCTCTTATTTATATCATTCAACGCGTTTTTCTCAAAACTACATTTTTTAAAATCGCTTGACGAACGATCCGATCACTATCAAATTCTGTTTACATGTTCTGTATATACATAGGTTTCTACAAAACTATCTGCTAATATTTTGAAATGATCAAAAATTGATTTTTTGGGTAAAATTCAACTTTTTTATTTCTAAACGTGACAATTTTGTGGATCTTTTTCGACCATGGGTAATTGTACGGACAATATCTTTTAGCAACGGAGCAAGCGGAGGATCTTTTTTAGTGCTGTCTAAGATCATGCGTAACTCGAAAAATATATACTTTTTTTCTTCAAATATTTTACTTCTGTAGGCTCTCACACTAGGTGTACTCGTTACAATTACAGGCTCTTTTATTGATAAATAGTTAACACGAAGGTAAATACTATGATTGGGAAGAGAAGTTCTGCAAAAAGTTAAGTAAAAAGTGAAATAAATAAGTTAACAGTGTAACGTGAAAATATTATTTAAAGCGATATAAAAACATATATTCCATTAATTTGAAGTCAAATTTTGTGCTGAAAATATAATTCTGACTGAGAACTTAATTATCTATGATAAGCTTAAATTTTTTATTCAGACATAGAACTTTTTATAATTCCACACACTTTTTATGACTTTTACTGTACACGTGCACTTGTCGATATGCTCCGATATGCTTTCTTCTCAGATACAAACTAGCTAACTGCATGATTAGCTGGAGCACCAACTCTCCCACTTAATTGAATACGCGCACTTGGCGATTGTAGTAGTTGTAATTACTGTGAGCATTCTATACAATACGTACATATATGTGTATGTATATATTTCGTTCGTTTTTCGATACAGATTGCATATTTTGTACGCAAACATTTTTATAAAAATCGTCAGATGAAATGAACTACTTACAATACAACTAGTGTGAATTAACTAAGTCTTACCAACCAACCAATTCATACTCCTTGCATGATAGAGTTGCGGTTTTTTAAATATAAAACTTTTTAAGAAAAAAAGGCTAACTTCGAACCACCGAAGCTATAATACCCTTCAAAATACAATACACTTCTTACAGGAACTTTATTTTGATCGGTTAGTTTGTATGGCAGCTATATGCTATAGTGGTCCGATCGTGCGGAGATTACATCATTGCCTTAAGCAATAACCAATGCCAAATTTCGTGAAGATATATCGTCAAAGGAAAAATTTTTCCATACAACGACTTGATTCCGATAGTTCAGATTGTATGGCAGCTATATTCGATTTTCAATTTTTAATCCTAAACACTTTGGTTTAAAATTTAAATTATCAATTTTTAGTCAATTTTAGGATTAATAAAAAAAAATATTTCATTTTGGGATTAAAAATTTTATTTTCAATTTTTAATTCTGATTTTGTGAAATTAAAACTGTTATTTTGAATTCAAAATTAAAAAATGAAAATTTTATTTTATTTATTTAATTTTTAATCCCAAACACCTTGGATTAAAAATTGATAATAATAAATCGTTTGAATATGTGAGTTGGCCAACCAAGTATTGAAGATGATTGTTCTGCGCGAGTTCAAGTTCAAATAATAAAAAAATAAAAAATGTTAGTACCTGAACAAAACATCACGCGAAAATGTTTTTAAATTTTATACTCTCGCAACACGATGCACAAAGTATAATAGTTTTGTTCACCCAACTGATTCTTTCACTTTACTGTATACAAATTCTTAGGGCAAAACTTTGCAAAAATAGTGTCCTCAAGTTATTTAATCTAATGCCCAAAAATTGTTGAAATTGGACTATAACTTTTTAAGGACCCAGACACCAAATGTGTAGAAACCGGTGCGTATGGCTGAATTTTTACCTAGCATAACGGTCACTCTATGAGTTCTTGCATTGAAATTCGGCGAGAACATTTTTGTGATAACAGCATTGTGCAAAAAATGTGTAAAATCGGGTCAATACTTCCCTTAGCCCCAAACTACCAAATATAAATATTTTCGAATTTCCGGTTGACTTTATAAAGCATCTATCGGTCAATGTGTAAGAAATCTTAATGAAATTTAGACAGAATCTCTTTCTAATAATAGTGCATCTGCTTGCTTGTGATTGTAAATAAGTAATGCAATACTTAAAACTTTTAATTAAAATATATACGAAAATTCCATATATCATTATAACTTGCGTGAGTATAAAATGTTCGGTTATACCCGAACTTAGACCTTCATTACTTGTTACATTTT